CTCGTATAAGCTACTGGCAAACATGTACCTAGAGATTCTTAGTATATTGTATCCACTACCCTGTTTTCTGTTATATAAAGATTATTTTCATGAACTGAGTTATAATATGGCATTACACTGTTTTGAGATGGAAAGAGAGTAATGTTCGACAAATGGCATGCATATGCATTCACCTTATAATTTTGCTAATATTCATGTACTATGTTAGAGTATCTCTACTAGGCTGTGACTCGCCTTATGTGGAAAACAACTTTCAAGTGCTACTGATATACCTTTACTAAGGATGTAGCTTGGGAGGACTTAGAGCTAGAGGCTTCATTTTTGTTTATTGAAGTAATTATTTTTGTTTAAGCCTCGCGTTTTACCTGTATTGAGTTAAACTCATTTTGTTGCATCTAAGTAACGACTTGGAAAGTTGTAGCCATTAGTGCATGTAGTTATTTAGTTTTAGTTTTATTTTATTTCTTGTATCCATGTCATATGCTATAAATTCAGAATTTATGGTTTATGAATGTATATCGCATATGTCATCTTTTGTATTGATCAAAGTTATAAATGGAATAGAAAATACGATATTGTTGATCATTTGTAAGAAATGTTATGAGTTGGATTATTGTTATTTATTTTGGGGCATTACAATTCAAATCTAGACAGAGGAAAGCGCATACATTTTTAAAACAGATATTTGTGTTGCATCTTAAAAATTCGTAGGTTATCTTCATACACTTTCTTTTTGCTTAGATTAGATTTTCTGAACTGTAATATTTTACATGATACTTTAATAATCAAGGTATGATATCAAAATTCTAAATAAGAACGACTTTCGTTGGTTTCATGTTTTAAATTTGCTTTTCATTTTTTGATTATTTTTGTTATTCATTTTTCATATTTTCTCAGTTTTGGTGATGAAAAATATTGGAATTTTTATATTTTATATTTAAATTATACTTTTATAGAAATATTTAATATCTAATAATCTAAATAGAATTAAAAAGTAAAATATTGGTTAATTTTTTTTAAAAAAAAATTCAAACATATACTGATTTATTATTATTATTATCATCATCATCATCATCTAATATTAATAATTTTTTTCAAAAAGAATACATGACAAATTATTTTCTAAGTGTATTTCGATTAAGTGAATCTAAATCTAAAAGTAAAATAAAAAAATAAAAAAGTATTATTAAATTAAGTGAACCTAAAAACAAAATAAAAGGGTAATTAAAAAAATAATGTCAAAGATAAAAGAAAAATATGAAAATAAAAAAATTCAAAATAAAAGTTTGAAAAAATAAATCAAACCAAAAACCATAAACTTCACTTTTATTTAAATCTTTCTTCACTAATATCTAATTTTATACAAATTATTCACAAATTCCTTTCAATTTTATGTAAATTTAATAATTTAATTAAAAAATAGTGTATACACACAAAAAACACAAAAATCTAACACTAAAAATCTACATTATGACCAACCATTTAATTATGAATAATTAACTTCTCATCATTACCTATATTATATTATTGCAAAAGTTTTCATATATTACTTTTGTAATATCTTATATATGTTAGTATCTACATGTGTATATATATATGTAAATTTCTATATGTTACTGCATTCATACATTATCAATCCGTAATGTTATATTATCATTGGATACTTTAATTTTCTAACATGTATCGCTTTAATAATATAGTTATATTTGCAAGAAAAAAAAAACTGTAAAATTGTGTATTGTACTCTTATCAACTTATATTCAATACATATATACATATATATCATACAAGCAAGTGTCCACAATGAACACTTTCAATAATAAATCAAGACTTTGCAAAACACCTTCATCACGATAATAATTGTACTTTTTTTTTCCTTTCACAAAAAAAAAAAAAATCACATTATTGAGGGAAAATGGATTTTAAAATTCATAATAATATGATATCGCATCAAACTTTTACTCATCAAAAACATCTTTATTATAATGAGTTATAATAGTGAGTAAAAAGAAAAATAAGAAGATGGTAAAACAAAAATTACAAAAGATCTATTGTAACATACTCTTCAAGTAAAGTTAGATGAGCTAAAATAGGAATTATCCTATCTGTTGTAAAGTTCAAGAAAAATAATGTACCTTACGCACATATTTTAGTCAAATTATAAGGAAAAAATCAAATGATACTCAAATATTATCACAACAACTCAATGATGTAGAAAGTAAGTACATCAAATAAAAATTTGTAATCAACTTCTGTCATATGTTGATTATTAACAGATAACCTAATAAATTATGTAATTTGACAATTTCATAAAAGTAACCTTGCAAACACTTAAAAGTGTGGAGCTATAAATATTGTAAAAACAATTATGAAATTTCTATATCGATCAAAATATTAAGGTACAATATCATTATATTTTTTTAAAAAAAGTATTCCACATTTTCTACATAAATAAAAATATATTAATGACTAATGTTATATTTTTTTATTATGGAAGATATTTGTGACACATGAAATGAGACTCAACGATGTATAAAAATATATTGCATATTAATATTAATGCATTCTTACACCAATAACATGCAAATAATATGTAATAGTGGGTTCAATAAATTTATATTATAAGATGAACTATTAAACAAAATTGTGTAATTGTACAATTAATTTCATACTTTCAATTACACTACAGGTACAAATTATGAAAAATTGAAGTGAGAAGTTGGTAAAAAAAAGATGTAACACTACATATTTAAAAGACTTATTTAAGATAGGATTGTAACATCAACAATCTAACTATAAATTAATATTTATGATTATAAAATTTCTTATTTATCATTTAAATTCTTCAGCTGAGTATATATTTATTTCTTACTTAGTTATATTTTGAGTACAGCTCAATTACTCATACAAGTCACTATACTTTATATGTATATTATATATCAATTTAAAAAATACGTATAATTATAACATCACCAATTGATGAAAAATTATATATCACGTGTAAATCACGTACTCAACCACTAATCTATTGAAAATAAATAATAATGGGTACGCGCCAAACCCATTGCCTTTCTTTCTTGCTGCAGTGTGAAAGGTAAATAATTATTTCATGTCTTTTATTTATCGGATTAAATTGGATAGAATTAGGCTTTTTTGGTAAAGAAGTTAAAAATATTTTTTTTAGTTTTTGAAAGTCATACCTTTTTATTTTTTTACATTTAAAAAAAAAAATAAAAAAAAAGTCAAAAAATCAACTTTTAACCTATTTCTTAAATCAAACCTAAATAATATGACCAAATTGAACAAAGGCATTGTTAAGGAGGATAGACCCGGAGGGAGTAAGGGGGCTGTTGCCCCCCTACAATTTCAAAACACTCTTACATATATTAGTATTAGTTATTAATTATTTTTAAAAATTATATATAATCACTCCCTCTAGATTTTAAAAAAGATCAAGTCCTTGCACATCCCAGACCTCTATATCTATAAGGCATGAGGTACAAAATATAAAATTTAACAATTTAGACAAAATATAATAAAAGAAAATAGTCTCTCACAATGAGTATCGATAAATTGTCCCAGACCTCTATATCTATAAGGCATGAGGTACAAAATATAAAATTTAACAATTTAGACAAAATATAATAAAAGAAAATAGTCTCTCACAATGAGTATCGATAAATTACAATTGTTATCATTTGTAATTTAACATTAAATTAAGAAAAAATGGATGGTACAAAGTGAAATGTGTGCAGGTTGTGGAATAGTTGATAATATAACCAGTATATGTATTGTTTTCTTTATATACAAGATACAAGTTGCACTAATAATAGAACAAATATAGGTTATGGAGGAATTAATTAAAGAAAACACTAAAGTTTGTGGCGATTAAAGACTTGGCAGTCAAAAAAGCAAGTAAAGGTTTTTGGTGACTAAATATTTAGTAGCCAAAAAAAAAAAAAAGACTTTTTTCTGACTAAAGAGTTTGTAGCCAAAATAAATCAAGATAAGGAAAAAATCCTTTGCCGTCTAAATATTTCAGTCATGAAAAAACATGACATCCTTCGGCGACTAAAATGTTTAGTCGTAAACGGCAACTAAAATATTTCGTGGCTAAATGCGACATAAAATGGCGACTAAAATATTTAGTCACTAAATGTAGTACCATTTGCAACAAAAACTTATTGGTGACTAAAACTTTTATTCGCCAATAGTTAATTTCATTTTTATGTAGTAACTTTAGGCGACTAAATTTTGATCTCAAAAAGGTTACTTTTGACAACTAATAAATTTTTAGTAGCCAAAAGTTGTAAATTAGTGACCAAAAAAATTTTAGTCGCCAATGCTATCGCTGACAAGGTATCCCCGACTGACTAATTTTTAATAGCCTTTGACTTTCGGCGACTAAAAATGAGGCTTTGGTGACTAATTTTTTAGTAGCTAAAGGTGTATTTTTTTGTAGTAAAATTTCGCTGAGTCAAATTTTCTCTGTGAAAATGTTGAGGGATCTTAACTACTATGAAAATATTGTATGTTATTTATCTTATAAAATCTTAATATTAGGTAGGGCTACAAACGAACCGAGCTGAGTCGAGCCGAGCTTTGCTAAGCTCAAGCTCGGCTCATTTACTTATCGAGCTCGTTTATAGAGCTCGATTTCAGCTTGATAAGGAATTAGGCTCGAGCTCGAGCTCGGCTCAGCTCAGCTCGATTAATTTTTTTAATATTATTTGCATTATTTAAATAAAAATAAACGAGCTGAGCTTGTTTGGTTTTTTAATTTTTTTGGCTATTTTAGTCTGAGCTAAAAAGCTTAGTTTAGGAAGGACTTTTTGACTTTTTAACTTTTTTGATTTTTTTTTGTAAGAAAATAGTGTAATGATTATAAATTAGATGTGATATTTTGTTTGTTGTGATTAAAATAACCTATTTTATCTTTTGTGATTAAAATAACCCAAAAAAAACCCATAAATCGAATTGCCAAACGGAGGCTTAAGGAAGAAAAAAACACATTTGTCACTGTTTTCAAATAAATCACAAGTCCTACCAAACCGACGGTGATGACTATGATGTTGATGAAGTCTGCTGTGTTCATCTTACCTTATCTTCCTTTTCCATTCTTCTTCTTCGGGTATTGTGCTTGATTCTATCCATTAAAGTATGATGTTTATTTAATGTTTATTGTTTTTCCTGGATTTACTGTTGTGAACAGAATCCGATTCTTGTTTCAGCTGCTACACGTTCTTCACTGTTTTTCCTCTTTCTTTTTTTCTTCCTTTTTGTGGGTTATATTTGTTTCCTCGTGTTCTGTTATGAATGAGTGTTTGCACATGTTTAATGCTCATATAGTTCTTTGAACACTTTCCAAAGCTGTATGTTTCATGTTTTGGTGTCAAATTTCCCAAACCCATGAATCAATTGTGCAAAAAACTCTCTTCTGATTGGATTCCTTTTAGGGGTGCAAAGATTGCGGTGCTATTCATCTAAAATGAATGTGGTTTGGATTCTTTGGTTGTTGTTACTTGTTGATTTTGGATTCTGTGCAAATGGGCTTAGTGGGAATGTGACTTCAAGACCTGCTGTTGTGAATATTGGAGCTATTTTCACTTTTGAGTCTACCATTGGTAGAGTAGCCAAGATTGCAATTGAGGAGGCTCTGAAAGATGTCAATTCCAATTCCAGTGTTCTTCCTGGAACCAAGCTTGTGGTACAGATGCGAAATTCCAATTGCAGTGGCTTTCTTGGCATGGTTGGAGGTACTTTATTTTCTACATTTTCCCTCAGATTCCTATTACCCTCTTTTGGTTGCTGAGAAACATGTAATTTTATATACGCTTTTATGTTTTATTTTTATTTCAATTCTAAAAAATGAAGTTGGCATTCAACTAAACCATACAGTAGATTTAGGCTTATTGGAGTAGAGATGGTTTTGGTTAATATTGATATTGGTGTTTTTGTTTTTCAACATTTTCTTACCAACCAAATGGTGAATGGAACATAATTGTTTTTAGGCATTTTAATTTTATTCCAAAACTCTGTTTTGGATAAGTCGGTCATTCTTCAGTAGACAAGCTAATGACTGTTTCTTGGTTGCAGCTTTGCAATTTATGGCGGCTGATATTGTTGCAATTATAGGCCCACAATCTTCTGTAGTTGCTCATATTATATCAAATGTTGCAAATGAACTCCAAGTTCCTTTGCTGTCATTTGCAGCTACAGACCCCACTTTATCTTCTCTTCAATTCCCCTTTTTTGTTAGGACAACACAAAGTGATTTATATCAGATGACCGCAGTAGCTGAGATTGTTGATTATTATAGTTGGAAGGAAGTAATTGCTATATTCATTGATGATGATTATGGAAGGAATGGTGTGTCAGCATTAGATGATGAATTTGCAGCTAGGCGCTGTAAAATATCCTACAAGGCTGGAATTCCCCCGGGATCGGGAGTTAGTAGGGGTGACATAATGGATATTCTTGTTAAGGTTGCATTATTGGAGTCTCGAGTTATTGTTCTTCATGTTAATCCTGATTCAGGTTTCTTGGTTTTTTCCGTGGCTCACTATCTTGGAATGATGGGAAATGGGTTTGTTTGGATAGCTACTGATTGGCTTTCTTCTGTTTTAGATTCCTCTTCACCCCTTCCCTCTGAGACCATGGACACATTGCAAGGAGTACTTGTTTTGCGTGCTCACACACCAGATTCACTTAAAAAAAGAGCTTTCTTCTCTAGATGGAACAAACTAACTGGTGGTTCTTTTAGGTTAAATTCTTATGGACTTTACGCTTATGATACTGTTTGGCTGGTTGCTCATGCTATTGATTCATTTTTCAATCAGGGAGGGATTATTTCATTTTCCAATGATTCTAGGTTACATTCCGGCACAGGGAGTAATCTTCACCTCAATACAATGAGAATTTTTGATGGAGGAGGACTCTTATTGAAGAATATACTGCAGAGTAATCTTGTGGGTTTGACAGGTACTATCAAGTTTAATTCTGACAGAACTCTCATTCTTCCTTCATATGATGTTATTAATGTGATTGGGACTGGGTTCAGACGGATTGGTTACTGGTCTAACTATTCTGGTTTATCAACTGTGCCTCCCGAGACACTATACTCAAGCCCACCTAATCGTTCGAGTGCAAACCAACGTCTATATAGTGTTATTTGGCCTGGAGAAACTGTAATAAAACCTCGCGGATGGGTTTTTCCAAACAATGGGAAGGAATTGAGAATTGGGGTTCCTATTCGGGTGAGTTACCGGGAATTTGTTTCACAAGTGCGAGGCACTAATACTTTTAAAGGGTTCTGCATAGATGTATTTACAGCTGCTGTAAACCTGTTACCATATGCTGTTCAATATCAATTTATTCCCTTTGGGGATGGAAAGAAAAACCCAAGCTACACAGAGCTCGTGGAGTTGATCACAACGGGTGTGAGTACACAAAAAACCACATTGTTTCTTGTTCAAGTTATATAAAGCTAGTTTGTGGCTGGCTAATATTCTTTGTCTATTTGTCTACTTGTGACAGGTTTTTGATGCCGCTGTTGGTGACATTGCCATTGTCACAAATCGGACGAAGATTGTAGATTTCACACAACCATATGCTGCATCTGGACTACTTGTAGTGGCCCCATTTAAGAAGTTGAACACAGGTGCTTGGGCTTTCCTGCGGCCATTTTCTCCACTGATGTGGGGTGTTACTGCTTTGTCCTTTATTCTTGTTGGAATAGTTGTGTGGGTTTTGGAGCATCGGATAAATGACGAGTTCAGAGGACCACCTAAGCAGCAATTCATAACTATACTATGGTGAGTTTTATGTTGGATCTTTTGAAGATGTTACATGGCTAATTTCTATTGACATAGCTTACTTCTATCAACTCAGTCTTTATTTGTTCTTTATTCATAAGTTCATAACATATTCTAAATTTTGAGTTTGAGTAGGATAATCTACCTCTTGATAGCAATATAAGGAACTGTGATTCTTAGGAGAGTTTATCAGAGCCCTAGGAAATGCATACCACAAGTTAGTCGATTGCAGTTTCCTTTCTGGTTTCTCTCATTTTGTACTCCAGTGATACGGCCAATACTTGAATTTTGGGATATCATGCCCCTAGAATGATGGTCTTGTAATTCAGAACCAAAGAATTTTTTATTTTGTATTCCTGCAAAAGCTAAATGGAAGCTTGTTAGAGTTTGTTTAGCGGTGCCTGGAACTTTATTTCCGTTTATGTAAATGAAGCACTGCCAGATGAAAACTTAAACCTTTATAAACAATGAGGGGATATATGTACTGGATGTCACTGTCAGATATCATTTCATTTACTCATCTCCTTTGGGCACATCTATGAAGTTGGGAGAGTGGAAACATGACCCAACAACCCTGAATAATTGTTTGTTGTTATAAATTATAGTTCTACCGGAAGTGTTGTACTTGTTAGTGACTGTTATTGACTCAAGACTGCTACTGTTTATTGGGTTTGGTAATTTGACAAAGCTAAAGTATCATAGAACTTTGTTTCCGCTAACCATAGTAAGCAACCAAGTACATTGTTAGAGTTTTTTTTTTTTTTTTTTAATATGGTATACAATTTGTTGTCTGGGCATGTCTTGCTAAACTACTAGTCACTTGTAAAACCCAAGTTGTGTGTAGGATTATTTTATTGGATAGATTAGTAATTAAATCAACTTATATGAGTCATTTATTAATATCAAAGAATTAGTTATGAGATGGCATTATATTTCCTATTACTTAGATGGGTAATTTTGTAACTTTGAGAAATTAGGTTAATAAGCCCACCTATTGTGGCTTTAAGTCTTGGAAAACAAACAAAACAGAGGCTATGAATTGCTCCATAGGCGGCTAGGGTTTGAGAAGGTAAAAGAAAAAAAAAAGAAAAGAAAAAGAGAAGAGAGACTTGTGCTGCAGAAAGGGTTTGGAAGAGTTAAAGGTGAAGGCAACAAGCAAGGGTTTGGAAAAGTTTAAAATTAAAGAAAAGAAACCCAAACCAAGGAAGAGGGAGGATTCATAAGAGTGGTGGTTTTGCTTTATTCATCACTTAGGTAAGATTTATTTTATTGTATTCCTATCTATGATTTTAGTGTTAATATATCAATAGATGATTTTATGGGCATATATGATTAAATAGATATATTGATATAGTCTATGTTGGGAGTCTCAATTTTGCTCAATTTTAGAGTGTATTTTGCATCCCATTTGGGTGGTTCATATTTTGAGATTGATATGTGATGGGTTAAGTTTAATGGTGGTGTATTTGTGGGATACACGATTGACTACAAGCAATTACAAATTGTTACGTGTATATAAACAACAATAGAATAATATGGGTTGAGAATTTCCGAAACCGTGATGGCTTTGTTTTGATGCTAAATTGTGGGAGTTCCTAATAGACTATTGGGTTAATTTATTCTATTGTTGTTACAAGAAGAGATGGATGGATGCACATAATAATTGTTTATGCGGTGTAATATTTTATTAGGTTTGTGAGATTGAGGTGGATCTTGGTAAATTGAGATTAGCTTGGAAAATATTATTTTAGCTGTTTGAGGTAAGTAACCCTCTATCACTGTTGGTACATTTTTATTCCTACTGAATCGTTTAAAATTATAAGTATTTATTCATAGCCTTCATGTTCTCTTAAAATAAAAAATGGGTCAAGTATAAAACAACATCGAATATTTTGGGGCTTTACCACTGGCCTATGTGTGGTTCTGGGCCTTGTCACGGGCTAAGTGACCGTAGTCATTAAGACTTGGGTTTTGTGAATCAAATCATTGAACCATCTGAATATCGAACCATCGATTTGAACAACGAATTTCCTTTGAATTATCTTGTTGGATTTTCAATTAAAATGTATTGTACATTGTTTATTTTTAGCTATGAAACCGTCTTACAAATAATTGTTCATTTATTGAACTGTAGAAAAAAAATTATATTTATTGTTTATCGATTTATTTATTTATTTTTGTATACTTGATCCAGCTAGCAGTGATGGTTGGTTATTTACTGGGCTATCTAGCTTACTCTTATTTTTTTTCAGATTCTGAAGAATAGAGCTGCGCGGGATCTTTTTTTTTACATGTGGGAGTGCTGAGAGTAGGACCATGATTTAAGTACTTGGATTATTGTTTTGTTAGTGGATTAAATTAGTGGATTTGGTGGACATTTTCATATGAGAACTATTTATTTTTATGGATTTTGGCATTATGACAATTAAGGATTTAATTTGAGTATTTTATTTTGTCGGTTATGTGATTGGATTCTTAGCCTTGCATGCTCACTTATATGAGTGTGCGGCGTTGTCACAGAGCTTGGGGCGTGACATCACTTGCTGTGCCATGGACCAGTTCTTGTGGCATTTTTTGGAAAAAGCTATTAAGTTGGACAAATTTGAATGATCATACAATTTTTGGGTTGTGAGTGTGATTATGGTAATTGTTAGTTCAAATTTTATGATTGGTGAAGAAGTATATATCTTTTCTAAATGGATTATTCTACTGTTTTGTCTTCTCCTTATCAAAAAGGGCAATTTCTGATATTTCTCTTGTTTTCTGTACTTGCAGGTTTAGCCTCTCAACCTGGTTTTTTGCGCACAGTAAGTGAAAGTGAGGTTCTGATGGATAATTTATGTTTTTGGTGGTGCTCTGAACCATCAGTACTAAGTTTGGTTAAAATTTTTATGCAGGAGAGAACACGGTGAGCACCTTGGGGCGTGTAGTGTTAATTATATGGCTCTTTGTGGTTCTGATAATCAACTCAAGTTACACTGCAAGTTTGACCTCAATCCTAACAGTGCAACACCTATCTTCTCCTATTAAAGGTATTCAAACCCTCAAAACAAGCGATGAGCCTATTGGATATCAAGTGGGCTCTTTTGCTGAGCATTACTTGGTTGAGGAAATTGGTATACCTAAATCTAGGCTTGTTGCCCTCGGATCACCAGAGGAATATGCTACAGCACTTCAGAATGGCCCTAAAAAAGGGGGTGTTGCTGCTGTGGTTGATGAACAACCCTATATAGATCTTTTCTTGTCAAGCCAGTGCAAATTCAGGATTGTTGGTCAAGAGTTCACCAAAGGCGGCTGGGGTTTTGTGAGTATCTACGTTACATTCTCTCTCTTTCTCTCTCTCTTTCTATATATATATAATTATATATATGCATACATATATATATTTGCTAAGGAAGTATCTATAATACTAGCTTGCTTCAGTCCTAATTCAGAAAACAGGTTTATTAGGATGCAGATAAAAGATGATTAAGTATTCCGTAGTCAACAACAAATCTGTTTTTGCATCTGGATTTCCCTGAGAAAATGGGAAGGTTTATTTCTGTTGACATGACATTTAGTAGCAAAACTACCTTCTCGACGGATGTGATCCTCTCCATTCCAAAATTGTAATGGAAGATCTCCATTACATTAAGGGTTTGTAATGATTATTTTTAAATTTAAAATAATGATAAATTTTCAAGATTATTTCACAACCCTTGGATCATGTAATGGAGATCTTCCATTACAACCATGTAATGGAGAGGATCTCAGTCCCCTTCTCGAATATTAGTACATCATATTGTGACCTTTGGGGAATTTTCTACAAATTAACTTAGTTTTTGGATTTTCACAAACCTACGTAGTTTGCGTTAGGAAAGCTTGAAACAAGTCTATGAAGCAACGACACTTCAAAACAAGTGCCATATTCGTGTCGGACACACGGACATTTCGGGGACACGCATACACTTTGGGGACATGTATGGGACACACCACATGGCATGCTCCCTAATTTAATTAATTTATTTTCAGGGGACACACCGGGGACACGCCAAGGACATGCCAAGTTGTCTTTTCTCCCATTTTATTTAGTGCTTTTGATGAATGTTGAATGTTTATTAATTTTTCTTATATTTAAATACTTAATAGATTATCCATAAAAAAGAGTGCTGTTATTAGCACTCCATTAATTATTTTGGACCCCTCATTTTTTAGCCTTTTTTTTATTGCAATAATAACTTCAAATAAAATTACTAAAAAGGACATCAATAATTTTGGAACACTCCATCTCATAATTAAGTCCACACACCCATTACATCATGAATTAGGGTTTATGAGAGCACTCACCTCCATCATCACGCATCCATCTTTCCCAAATCCCACCTTCAAAACCCACTCACCCTCAAAACCTTGAAAATCCTTTGGTGGTAATATTTCGGCAGTAACGGTGGCAACCATTTGATGACCTACACTTCTCCGGGAATGACAATGAGTAGAAATTTTTCTGGCAACCACAACTTCATGAGACGAGAGGAGTACAACAATAAAAGCTCAGAAGAGGTTCATAACTTTGATACTGTTCTTAGCTCAGAAGAGATTGGTCTTGTATGGATAAGTTTCTTGAAAAAAAATGACAAAAATAATAAAAACTATTCGTCATTTTTTTAGAACTGAACTCCCGAATATATGACTGGAATTCGGAAACACAGGCCCGAACATTATTTATTTATTTAGGAACAGGTAACTGGACATTTCTTAGTTGTTCGGGAACATATAACTAACTCTGACAATGGTCAAACCGAAGAAAAGAATGAGGCGACAGAGATCACAACCCAAGCCAGGGCAATTGACAGTAATCACACTTAGCTATTCTTCTTCTTTCTCAAGCACAAAAACCTCAACCCAATTTCTTGTTGATATATTCTAAAGATTGAAGGTTAAAAATCCTACATTTATTTTCTTACTGTAAGGTCATGAACAAGTATGTGTAAATGAATTAGTAATCACCTTCATGGGTTTTGTTAGGATTTTTGGGAGAGAGGTTTTTTGGGGTGTGGGGGGTGTGCATTCAATTGAATGAGTGAAATGTTTTCACAAGGATAATTTTGGTATTATTTAGAGGGAGAAAAGAAATTTTAAGGATTTTAAAATTTATAAGTGGGGATCTAAAGAAATGGGGGGTCCAACATAATTGATAGGGTGCTAATAGCAGCACTCTAAAAAAAAGATATAAACTGTAAGTGTTAATTTAAAAGTGCTCTTTTTTTTTAAAAAAAAATAAAAAATAAAAAATAAAAATAAAAAGAGAAAAGAATTAGAGTTAGTTTTTGTTAATATTGATTGTTTGTGGATGTAATATTAATTTAGATAGCAAATAAAAATATATGAAAACATATTTTATTGTCATGTCTCCGCCGTATGCGTGTCTCCATTTTTTTGAAATCGCTGTGTCCCGTGTCCACATCCATATCTATGTCCATGCTTGTTAGAAACAAGCTTTAGAAACTTGTCCCAAATTGGAAAGAGAGGCAAAAAGTAAAAATTTTAATAAAGAGCAATGTGGAATATTCCCTTGAACATGAAATTGTGGAGAAGAATGCTACTATGCATGCACATGCTTTGTAAGGATGGTGTGCTACCATATGCACAAGCACACGAGTGTGTGGTGCTTTGATGGCTCACTTCGCACTTAGCACAGACGCGTTGTGGGCATGGAGACGCTTTCCTATTTCCTACATGCTTTTGCTGATATTTATTTCTTGCAAACTTGAATATCAGTGTATTGGTTCACTTGATCATATCAAGGATATTATGGCCGACTGTTGTATGTGCAACCACTGCAAATTGTTTGGCGGGGAAAAATATTTTTTTAGGAAAGCGACGTTGTAACGCGACGCAATTATTTTTGTCGTTTTCTTAGAGGTTCTTGACAACACTAGAGTTGAAGATCAAACTTGACGACCGGATCATTTCTCCCACATAATATATATAATAATCAAAAGATTGAATAAAAAGGCGATCATGTTTTCCAAAAATAATCACATTTGAAAGATTATTGACAAAATCATCTAGACTAATTCGATCGTTACCAAATGATACAAAGTGATTCGTTCAGAGAGTCTACTGAAGGCACAACAAACTTAGTCAAGAAATGTGATATTGGTTGGTGGGCTCCAACATTCGTTTATTTATGAGTGCTACTATTAACACCCCATCAATCAATTATTTTGGACTCCCTATTTTTTAGCTTCTTTTTTTTTTTTTTAAATACAATAATAACCTCAAATGAAATTACTAAAAAGAACATCAATAATTTTGGGACACTTTATCTCACAATTAAGCCCACACACCCATTACATCATGAGTTAGGGTTTATAAGAGCACCTACCTCCATCACCACCCATCCATCTTTTCCAAATCCCACTTTCAAAACCTACCCATCCTTAAAACCTTGAAAACCCTTTGGCGGCAATATTCTGGCAATAATGGTGGCAACCATTTGATTACCTACAATTTTCCGGCAATGGCAATGACAATAAGTAGAAGTTTTTCCGACAATCACAACTCCATGAGATGAGAGGAGTACAACAATAAAAGCTTAGAGGAGATTTATAACTTTGATAGTGTTCTTAGCTCAGAGGAGATTGGCCTTGTAAGGGTAAGTTTCTTAAAAAAATTGACAAAAATAATAAAAAATGTTCGTCATTTTTTCGGGACTGAACTCCTGAACATATAATCAAAATTTAGGAACATAAGCCCGAATATTGTTCATTTGTTCGGGAACAGGTAATTGAACATTTCTTATTTGTTCGAAACAGATATCCGAAACTCGTGGAGATCGCAGAACCACAAAAAGGGAATTTTGAATCAACAACAAAAAATCTTACATTTATTTTCTCAGGTTATGAACAAGTATGTAAAAATGAAGTAGTAATCACTTTTGTGGATTTTGTTAGGATTTTGAGAATAGAGGCTTTTTGGAGTGTGGGGGTGTATATTCATTTGAATGGGTGGAATGTTTTCACAAGGATAATTTTGGTATTATTTGGGAAGAGAAAAGAAATTTTAAGGGTTTTAGAATTTATAAGTGGAGGTCCAAAGAAATGGAGAGTTCAAAATAATTAATGGGGTGCTAATAGCAACATTCTTATTTATTTATTTTTTGACATCAGAAGAGCAGCAGTACATCCATAGGAGAGGGGATAAGGGGATGACCTAGATGTCATGCGCAACCATGGGGCTAGTCCATGAAGTCGAGTTTTTATCAATGTATTTCTACATCAAAAATGAAAGACCTTCGTTTTAGGCTCTCTAATTTTGAGATGTGTGACTTATTTAAGGGTTTTTGCTAAAATTGGATGAATGTTGTATTTGGTGTTTGAGTCTAGAAGTATTTGCTTTTAAAATTCATTAATTTCTAAACTTGTTTGGTAATAGTTTCACTAATTAATTGCTTAGGAAGTAAACTTGTATTGGAATTTTGTCTCTATGTAAAGGATCAGCCTTTGAATTAAGAGGAATCCACAAGCGCGAGTGAAGGCTTGCGGGGACAATTGTCTGAGATAGTTATGAATAAATTTATTTTCATATAGCTGTACTCAAATTAATGGCAATTGGCAAGATGACCAATTATGAAATGTCTAATTACTCAAATATGTCAACATAATTATTTGACTTTTTCCTACTGACAATTCTAGCCAAAATTGCATGGACGATTTTTTTTCCTTTTTGATTAGCAATTTGAGCGTAAATGAGGACACCAAGGGGGTGTCACCCATGTACATCAAGGATAGCCACAAACTCTAAGCCCTCCCCAAAAATTCAGCCCCTTAGTGAAATCCACCAACCAAAAGGAAGATTCACAAAATTTCTCCATCCAAAAGTGAATGGAACACAGTAAAGTTGACTTAAGTTTATGAGTAAGTAGTCATATCAGTGTCCAAGGTATATTGGTTTCTTTTTCTCCAAATGCACCACATTAGGAGCAAAGGACTGCACTGTATCTGACCATTTGATTGATCATGGACGGCCCTTTCTTTTCTATAGTTGTATGTAATGCTAGAAACCCCAAAAATTCTACCAAATGTTTCACATGGGTGTGGAACCCACACACACAATGTGAGACATTTGGTAGAATTTTTGGTTGAATTTTTGGGGTCTCTAGCATTTTTGTATGTTAAATTCATTCAAACTGATTGTGAAGGAATGAATGTTGAAGAATTTCATATGCAGTGTTTTTAGTGTGTGCGCCAACATTTTGTTACACTCATTTAGGTTGTGTTTGGATCATGAATTTGGGTAGGGATTTGAACATAACCTTTGCTGTAGGAAGAAGGGTCTAGACTTCAGAGACTTTCATGAATAGCAATGTGACCCTAAATACCGAGAAAACTTATGTGCCCTCAAAGTTTAAAGCATTCATGGATTTGAATTTTGTTTTCAATACGTTTTCTCTAAATTTTGATGAATGAATAATATTCTGATTTAATGTAATTTTTTTTATTAGGCATTTCCGCGGGACTCTCCTTTGGCTATTGACATGTCCTCTGCAATTTTAACACTTTCTGAGAATGGGGATCTCCAACGGATCCATGACAAGTGGTTGACAAGAAGCGCTTGTAGCTTGGACAATGCCGAGATTGAATCAGACCGCCTTCACCTGAAGAGTTTCTGGGGCCTTTATCTTATATGTGGGATTTCTTGCTTCATTGCTCTTGTCATATATTTCTTCCAGATTATGCGAAAGTTTTACCGTGCTGCGCACGCCGAACCAGTTTCAAATGGTGAGGGCAGTTCACGCTCTAAGAGTATTCAGAGACTATTGTCATTAATTGATGAGAAGCAAGACCAGTCAAAAAGGGACAAAAAGAGAAGAAAGATGGAGATATCATCACCCGAGAAGGATAAAGAAAATGAGTTGGAAAGGAATCCGAAAAGGAGACCAAATCAATTATTTACGGAGGGTGGTGACATTAACTCAAGCAATTGAAGTCACCGACTCACTTATTATTTCCATTTCAACATTTAAGACATAATTCTACTGAACATTTAAGAGATAAACTGTTTATGTTTCTGAAAATAGTTGTTTATGGAGGAGCTTGTGGGAGCAGTTTTTTCATTAGAGGACAGCATGGAACTAACTTGACTAGTTTTCTCGAAGAATAGAACTAAATGCCAATTGTACAACAATTTTTATTTATTTCTTGTTTCTCTTTTTGCAATTTCCTTACTGGTTATGGAAGGTATATATATATATATGGGGAAATGTTTTTTAAAAAAAAGGGGTTATCTTTGAATGAATCTTGATTGCTAAATTTCAGAACCCTAGTTTCCTCTTCATTTCTGGTGCTACATCACTGTCATTCTGGCATATTGGCTTTTCCACCAATTGAACATAGTTTACATTTGAGGAATATATATATATATATATATATATTTTTAAAAATTTCATTTGCTGATACTGAAATGTTGTTTTAAATTTTTTAAATTGGAATGTGGCCTCTTGTTTGTATACCCAAGAGGGTACTATTACCATATATCTCCCAGATTCACAAAATAAAAAATTAAAAAAGAAAAAACAATTTCAACAGTATTTGCAACTACAAAGCACCGTGCTAATTTATTATTCAAGATTCTATTCCCCTCTTTCAATTGTCCTTAACAAATAAAGATTTATTGACATTGAGGAAAATCCTTGGCTTCTAAATGAAATTTTTTTGACAAGCCAAAAGGGTTTTAAAAGGAAAAAGAAAAAAATCAAACTATTTAAGCTTCATAAACCTTGCACTCCTTCTCAGCAGGGCTTGTCTCGCAAAAATCCTCCAATGGATCTCCACTTCCTTGTGCAGGCATGCCTGGCCACTTGCTTGCTACCAAATGTGCCAAATCGACAACACGTTGGCTACAAAAGATAGAAAACACAGCCATTATCATACAATCACGTCACATATATTCTAAACCAAACAGAAACATTCATCTCATGAGGGAGGGGGGGAATATTTGTTGTTTGATCTGTCTATTTGATTTAAATCGTTGATGATTCCATTCCAAAAGAAATGGAAATTTCTCTCTTTTGTGATGATCAAATGCTGTTCTTACTGTAAAATATGTTAAATAATGATTTCAAAGTAGGAAACTTTATTTTATGTTTGGTTATCAAGTAACATGTCACTTAAAATACCCAAAAAAAAGAAAAAAAACCAAGCATTGTGTGATATTTCTCAGTTCTTGTCATCCATACCTGTATCCCCATTCATTGTCGTACCATGCCACTACCTTGACCATGTCGTCTCCCATGACCATTGTCAAAGATGAATCGATGGTGGAAGAAACATCAGAGCACCTGAAATCGACTGACACAAGAGGGACATCACACACGGCTAATATACCCTTCAATGGTCCATCGGCTGCTTTTCTAAAGGCAGCATTAACGTCTTCAGCAGATATTCCTTTTTTCGCGACATTCACAACAAGATCAACGACAGATACATTTGGTGTGGGAACACGGAGAGCAATGCCGTTGAGCTTGCCCTTGAGCTGTGGAAGCACTAGAGACACGGCCTTGGCTGCACCGGTGCTTGTTGGGACTATGTTAAGTGCTGCAGCTCTGGCTCGCCTCAAGTCCCGGTGTGAAGCATCTAAGAGTCTCTGCAAACATTACAAGGAAAAACATTTTGAATTACAGTTTTAAGCCACCAAGTCCTATAAAAAAAAAAAGTCCTGCTAGGATTCAATGATGCATTGCTGGACTTTATTACTTGATCAACAACTAGTTTTTCACTGTCATATCTGAGTGGATTTAATTATTTTTACCCTTTTTTCATGGATGTGTAATTACCTGGTCTCCAGTGTAGGAATGAGTGGTGGTCATGGTCCCCTTGACAATACCTGAATATTGGGACAGGAATATGTCACTTTACAGTGCTTGAGCTTTTTGTCATTTTGTCAAGCGAGTGTTTTATTACCAAAATAGAAGATTTACAATGCTTACCGAGTTCTTCATCCAAGACTTTCACGAAAGGAGCTAAACAGTTTGTGGTGCAAGAAGCATTGCTGCAATTATAAAATTTCCAATCAATATTATAGTTTTAAACCCAATTAACAAATCATTCAAAAACAATGCCACAAACTTCAATCAATAGTCTTTCTTGTTCATTTAGCACTTGCCAACAAAAAAATATCACTACTATAATTTAGGAAAATACTAACCTTACAATGTTAGAAACATCATGGGAGTAGTCTCCTTCATTGACTCCAACAACATAGGTGGGAATGTCGGCACCTTTTGCTGGAGCAGTGATAATAACTTTCTTGGCACCAGCTTGGATGTGCTTCCCAGCCCCAGGTCCATCCACAAACACCCCTGTCCCCTGTATTATTTCACATGATTTAATTTTCTATGAAGAATTGTTTTAAAAACATCCATTTTGCCTTTGATTTCTGTCCAATTTTGTAACCTATGCCATTGATTAGATTAAATTGACACAATGTGAACCATGAGTATAATTGAATTTGTCCTAAGAAATGCAGTAAATCTGAATATACAGTAAAAATATCAGACAATTCACAACATAAAGAATTAAGTGTTATACCTCAATAACAATGTCAATGCCTAGTTCAGCCCAAGGGAGCTTCAAAGGGTCCCTACTAGAGACAACTTTGATGGGCTTACCATCAACACTGATGGTCTCATTGTCCACTATTTTCACTTCTGCTTTGAAAGTGCCCAACAATGAATCATACTTCAGCAAGTGAGATGCCTATATTTGCAAATTGCAAATTAATCAGACAAAAAATTGAAAAAGAAAAAAAAGAATGAAGAATAAATTACTCCAACTACTGAATTATGTCCCAAAAATCATGGCAGTTAATTTTTACTTACATTCTTGACACCACCACTGTCGTTAACCACAATAACATCAACGGGGGAGTTCTTCCGGCCATGCCAGCACCGGAGAAAGTTGCGGCCAATGCGTCCAAAACCATTAATTGCTACCTTTAATTTGGCCACTGTTTGTCCCTTGACAGGGGTTGAACCTGCAGTCTAATTTCAATATATAAAACAACCTGTCACTGCTAGATTAAAGCATAGAGGAAATATATTTACAGAACCAAATTACCATATCAGTTTTCATAGCCAGTATTTTGTATTCTTTAATCCCTTCATATGCATGCATGGTCCTCACATTGATAATCAGAAAACAAAAGCTAAAAGCATCCCTCCCCGACTTTCCTATAATTCACTTTCTTTTTTCTTTTTTTTTAATAATTTGTTTAAGCTATTTCTACTTCATAAGCCGGCACATACTTTCAAAATAAAAAAGCTATATGCAACTCCAATACAAAAAAGAGCAATCGCTTCTTTTTGAAGAGACTTTTGAGCAATATATATATTTTTTCTTCTAGTTCAAATTCAATTTCTTTTTGAAGAGACTTTTGAGCAATATATATATTTTTTCTTCTAGTTCAAATTCAATTTAGCTTATTCATATATCAAATCTTGACATATAGTCTTCCCATATTGTTCTTAAATTCATCTGAATTGCCCCTATTCATTGGATTTTCTCAAATTCTATAAGAATTTTGCCAGATTTGATTTATGAACATTGGAAAAACTGAATAACCCAAATTAATTCCCAAAACTTTTCCCCTCAAGCGTATCAATGCTAAGACCAAAGGTTTAGCTAGATTGATGAGACAGTCTTTAACCAGACGTGATACTTAAGTTTGAGTTTTAATGTTGTGTTACCCAGTTTTCCTTTCCCCTATTTTCCTCATCCTTATTGTGGGAAAAAAAAAAATAGAAAAGAAGAAGGTTTATCAGTGCTACCTTGCCACTCTATCCAAAATAAACTAAAGGCCAATAACTTAATGTCAATTTTTTTTTTTTTTTGGATAAGTTATAAGTTACTTTGTATGAATCAGAAAATCATCATAGTCTTGTTAGTTAGTTAATCCATGTTTAGAATAAATCTTGGGAACAAAACATCAGAACTATAATTAACCAAAGAAGATTAGAAGATAACCATGGGAGTTGCTTGGGCAGCCACTACATCAAACAAGGATGCTTCCCTAGCATTCTTGGCGTATGTCACACATCCACTGGATCGAAGACCAGAAAACTCTGCTACTTCCAGTCTCTATGCACCAAAATGAAATTAGAAAGCAGAAAAAGCAAAAAACTGTCATATATTTATAGAGAGATAGAGAGAGAGAGGGAGAGACCTTGGAAAGGCATTGAGTGGGGAAGCAGGAGGAGTGAGAGGACTTAGAGGGAAGTAGCGAGGTGTGAGATGGGATTCTTGAAGAAGCCAGAGCAGCATGGGTGGCCATGGCTTCCTCCCTGCAACTGAAACTATGATCAGGACAACTTCCTTTACTAAATATTATATGTTTATACTTTACATTTGTTTTTTCAGTTATCATGCATGTCTGGGGCTGTCAAGGTTTTGAATGAAATAATAATTTATGGCTGAAAATGAGGCAAGGGAATGTGTGGTGAATATGGTACAATGAAAGATATGAGATAGGATGAGGTTCTGGATGCATTTTCAAAAATACTAGCCACATAAATCAACCATATACTGTTGGAAATTATGGTTTTTATTAGGTTTATTTTGGGCCACCTTTGAGCTCAAATTTGAGTGGGGCCTATATGTCTTTTGGGATGGATCCAAAGAGGTGACGTGTTCCTTGCCGTGTGACAAGTCACACAGTGAATATGGTTCGTCAAAACTATTTATGAGTGAATGGAAAGTTGATGTCGTTTTTAAGTTCGTGAAATGGGAAGTTAAAGAGTCAAATGTGGGTTTCTTTAAATAGGTTGTCCCATATTGAAACTTTAAGAAAGCTAATGTGAGTATATAAGCTCTAGGTGGACACACTTGGATTGAGCCCCAAGAGGCACCCCAAGTTTTGTAAGGAGGGGAGTTACGGACAAAGTGGGCTAGGCCCAAAATCACCACACGCGCGCCGCTACCACCGCCATCCGACCAGCCGAGCCATGTGCGGGTTGAGTCCTGACTTTAATTTTTGGACAAAATTTATTTATTTATTTATTTTTATTTCCACAATTCTTGCGGGAAAATTTAAATTCCTAACGGGGAAAAAATTCAAACACTTGCGCCAAATTTCAAATTCAAACCTGAATAGTGGCATCCTTTCCTTCTCCGGTCACCTCTCTTCACTCTGGCAGTTTTTCAGATTCACACCAATTCGGAGGGCTTCCAAACCCATCCGAACAGTCATCTTATTGCCTATAAATACAGACTTTCTCCAACCAATTCTCTCATTCGTGTTTCTTCATTTTCTCTGTATTGCTCTTCTGCATATTGTTCTTATATTTTCTATAAAAGAGAGAGATACAACTCAGTCTATCCGCTAGATCCAGATTGTAGTGCCGCAATTCTGGGATGTGATCGTTGCATCCTGGGAGGTCGGCGTCATCTGTTCTCGAGCACCATAGCGAGGACATAACGATCTTAAGGAAAGTGTGTCCAACACATGCCTCGGCTTTTTTTCATTTCTGTATTTCTATACTACAATTTGTAAGTAAATTAATTCTATTTTATTTCAGTATATGTTCTTGTTCTAGTTTTGGACTTGAACAAGAAATTTCTTTCCTTCCTTCATTTTCAGAAACATTTCTTTTCTGAGTTTTGGGAATTAAAATTTACATTATGAAATTTAGTTTTAGAATTTTATTTCCAATCGTATTTTATTAAATACACACAGTTTGCTATTTAGTTTAAAAAGATCTTTTTCTACAGCTTAATATCGTCATTATTTTTATTTTGCTTTGTGTGTATTTGTTTCGTTTCTGAAATTGTGATTTTTAGAAAAAAATGGCAACAAATAGTGCTGAGACTATTCCGACCGTGACCCCAACAGTCTCGGTACCACCGCCAATGACTCCTACGGTGCCAATAAACCATGGAGAGAAACCGAAAAAATTCAATGGAATAGAGTTTAAGAGATGGCAACAAAAAATGCTATTTTATCTTACAACTTTGTATTTGGCCCGGTACATCTATGAGGAGGCCCCAAAACAGACAGAGTGAGAGGACGCTGATCGTCAACTTGTTACTACAATAGATGCCTGGAAGCAAGGTGACTTTCTGTGTCGAAATTACATACTAAATGGACTTGATTCTTTATACAATGCATTGTGTAAAGATGATGGCCAAAAAACTTTGGGAATCTCTTGAATTAAAGTACAAAACTGAAGATGCCGGTGCAAAGAAATTTGTTGTCGGACGTATTCTGGATTTTAAAATGTTAGATTCTGAAACGGTGGTTGGCCAAGTCCAAGAAATTCAGTTGATCATATATGACATCATTTCCGAAGGAATGATTCTGAGTGAATCATTTCAAGTTGCTATTGTTTTTGAGAAACTTCCACCAGTATGGAAAGACTTCAAAAATTACCTTAAACACAAACGCAATGAAATGAAGTTGGAAGAACTTATCATGCGACTAAGGATTGAAGAGGACAACCGGAAATCCGAGAACAAGTCTGGGAACCAAGTCATGCAGGCTAAAGCAAATGTTATGAAACAAGGACAGAGTTCAAGGTTTAACAACAAAAAGAGAAAGCATGATGGTAGAGGGTCCAAGCACGGCTTTAAAGGTGAGAACAACAAAAGATTCAAAGACAAGTGCTATGTGTGTGGTGGTGATGGACATCGAGCAAAGGATTGTCGAAGTCGCAAAGATGGAGTAAGTTCTAGCAAGAAACCGACACAAGCCAACATAACTAAGGGATACAATCTTTCTAAGGAATTGGTAGACATTAACCTTTTTGCAGTAGTCTCTGAGGCTAACTTGGTGGGCAACCCAAAAGAATGGTGGGTGGATACTGGAGCAACCCACCACATTTGTGCTAATAAGAAAATGTTCACAACCTACAAAGTGGTGGAGAATGGCGAACAACTGTTCATGGGAAACACCTCCACATCAACTGTAGAAGGACAATGGAAGATAGTGCTAAAGATGACCTCGGGGAAGGAACTCACTCTCAACAATGTACTCTATGTTCTAAACATTCGCAAAAATTTAATTTCTAGGTCATTGTTGATTAAGAACGGGTTTAGGTTAGTATTTGAATCTGAAAAAGTTGTACTTAGTAAGGCTAGAATGTATGTAGGTCGTGCGTATATGACCGATAGGTTTTTTAAGCTCAATGTGTTAATTGTTGTACCAACTATTGCTTCTAATAATAAGAACACATCTTTTGCTTATATTGTTGATTCTTCTCATTTATGGCATGGTAGATTAAGACATGTAAATTATGGTTCTTTATGTACACTTGTTAATCTAGAATGTTTACCTAAATTTAATCTTGATCCTAATCATAAATATGAAGTATGTGTTGAAGCTAAAATGACTAGAGTATCATTTAATAAAATTGAAAGAAGTACTGAACCACTAGCTTTAATTTACACCGACATTGGTGATTTAAAATTTGTGCAAACTAGAGGTAATAAAGAGTACTATATAACTTTTATTGATGATTGCACTAGATATTCCTATGTATACTTATTGTGGAGTGGAGTAAATATGAGGCCTTAGAAGCTTTTAAGCAATATAAGGTAGAAGTTGAAAATCAACTTGGAAAAAGGATTAAGGTTGTAAGAAGTGATAGAGACAGTGAATATGATGCACCATTTGATGAGTTTTACTCAAAACTTGGTGTTATTCACCAAACCACTACACCTTATTCTCCTTAATCAAAAGGAGTGGCTGAAAGGAAAAATCGCACTCTTAAAGAGATGATGAATGCCATGTTGATAAGTTCGGGTTTACCCCAAAATTTGCAGGGGGAGACTATTTTATCAGCAAATTATATCCTAAATAGGATACCCTACAAGAAAACAAACCAAACACCTTATGAATTATGGAAAGGTCATCGACCTTCTTATAATTACTTAAAAGTGTAGGGGTGCTTGGCAAAGGTGGCGGTTCCTAGTCCTAAAAAGACTAAAATTGGATCAAGGATCGTTGATTGTGTATTCATTGGCTATACCAATAATAGTAGTGCATATCGATTTTTGATAGTTAAATCAAGTATTTCCGATATACACACAAATACTATTATCGAGTCAAGAAATGCATCCTTTTTCGAACATATCTTTCCTTGGAAAAAAGATGAAGAAAATCAAATTCCTATAGATACAGAGACAATGGCTGAACAAGCCGAGTCATCTGAATTGGAAGAGCCAAGTTCTAATAAACGAACTTTTACTGACACCATGGAAAGTGGAAAAGAACAACAAGAAGATGAGCCTAGACGTGGAAAGAGACTAAGGACATCTACGTCTTTGGTCTAGATTTTCTAACTTTTTTATTAGAAAATGAGCCTCAAAACTTTAAGGAAGCAATGTTAGGTCCTGAAGCACCATTATGGAAAGAAGCTATAAATGATGAAGTTGAGTCCATTCTACAAAACCATACTTGGGAATTGGTTGATCTTCCTCCAAGATGCAAACCACTTGGATACAAGTGGATTTTCAAAAGAAAAATGAAAACGGATGGGTTAATTGATAAATACAAGGCTCACCTTGTAATCAAAGGGTATAGACAAAAGGAAGGTTTTGACTATTTTGACACCTATTTCCCTATAACAAAAATAATATCCATTCACATGTTGATTGCTATAGCAGCTTTGTATAACCTTGAAATACATCAGATGGATGTTAGAACCGCCTTTCTAAATGAAGATTTAAATGAAGATATCTACATAGAACAACCCGGGGGATTCAAAGTTCCTGGCCAAGAGAAGAAGGTTTGCAGACTTATCAAATCCTTCAATGGATTAAAGCAAGCACCGAAACAATGGCATGAGAAATTTGATCATGTTATGATTTTGGATGGTTTTAGAATAAATGAGTGTGACAAATGTGCCTATGTCCAGAATACCAACAAAGATTATGTCATCATTTGTCTCTATGTAAATGATTTGCTCATCATTGGTGGTAAGATCGAAATGATAAAAACTACCAAGAAATTGTTAAACAAAAGGTTTGACATGAAAGATATGGGAGTAACAGATGTCATACTTGGAATGAAAAGTTGTAAAACATCTGATGGGTATGCCTTATCTCAATCTCATTATGTTGAGAAAATTCTGGAAAATTTTGGAAAGTATGACAACCGTCCTGCTAAGACACCTATAGATGCTAATTTTCATTTATTAAAGAATACAAGAGAAAGCATACCACAAGTAGAACACTCCCAAATCATTGGAAGCTTGATGTAGTTAATGAATTGCACATAGCCTGACATAGCCTTTGCAATCAGCAAATTAAGTAGGTACACAAGCAACCCAGGGAAGGATCATTGGACAACTATAATTAGGGTACTTAGATACTTGAGACATACCCAAAATTATGGATTGCATTATACAAAATATCCAGTAGTACTTGAAGGGTACAGT